ATACAGTATATGACATTAAAGTTACAAAGAACCAGCAAATGTCCCAAATCAATATTCACAGGATATAATGCTCATCATTAAAGTAAATCAACACACCAAATTAACAGAATATAACAAAGAAAAGTACAGTGAACATGTACACAATTACAGGATAATGTTCAGGGATACCTAAACTAAGTAATAAAGTTGTCACACTCACCATTTGACATTTACGCACAACAATAAACGGTAGGAGTACAGGAAARCATCCTCTCTCAACTACTGCACCGAATGGAAAGAAAGAACCAGAGATGTGTCTGTACTTGTCTACATGTGCCGGTGGTGCATTCAGTGAGACTCCGTGAACTATGATGAGTTCAATAAAGTAGGAAATTTCAAAAGTCTGACAAAATACTGAAATATATTGCTAAATTCACTAACAAAGTACAAACAGTGTGGACTTTCTTACACAGCCACCCCGACTGTCAACAGACAGTCAAATCCAGGTAAGAAGGCCACTTAAACAGTTAAGTCGTCCTCTTCATCTTCAAACTTTGGGAGAACAACCAGCCGAGCAACTGGTCGGATATAAGTCTGATYCTTGACCTTGATGGCAGCAGTCCGGATGCGTCCATCAGCTCCAGGATAAGTAGCCAACACCTTCCCAATAGGCCACGAAGCTCTTGGTAGTTGGGGATCGACGACGAGGACTACTTGGTCATTACTGAGACATTTCCCATCTCTCTGCCACTTCTGTCTCTCATGTAGGTTAGGCAAGTAATGACTGATGAATCGGGACCAGAAATGATCTACAAAAACTTGACTRTGTCTCCATCATAGCTTACCAAAGAGGTCACTGTGATCGTACGACTTGTGGCATAGAAGCATCATGACGTCCCATCAGCAGGATATTCGGTGTCATAGGATCTGGATCCGCCACATTAGTGGATACATAGCCTAGAGGCTTCRTACTCAGAATGCCCTCCACCTCTACTAGAACTGTGTGAAACACATTCTCGGGTAGAATCTGTTCCTTAAGCACAACTTTAAGGGAAGTCTTAACTGACCTTACTTGTCTCTCCCATGTCCCGCCAAAATGTGGAGCACTGGGAGGATTGAAGCAGAATGTGATCTGTTGTTGGGCTAATTGTTCCTTCAGCTGAGGAGCCAAGGTTTCGAAGGTCTCATGTACTTCTTGAGCTCCTCCGACAAAATTGGTGCCRTTGTTGCACATAAGTTCCTTAGGTTTACCTCTTCTGGCGATAAAATGCCTCAGGGCCATCAGGAATGCATCAGCATCAAGACTCTCCAGGAGGTCTAAATGTACACAACAGGTGGTCATACATTTGAAGATTATGCCCCAACGGTTTTCTGTTTGGCTTCCTATCTTTACTGTAAAGGGGCCGAAACAATCGACACCAGTTGAATAAAATGGTGRCTTATAAAGGTGCAATTGAGCTGGTGGCAAATCCGCCATCTTAGGGACTGAAGGCTTAGCACGCCATGCTTGTCATTGTATACAGTGACTCTGATGCTTCTTCACCGATTCTCTCCCACGCAAAATCCAGAAGCGACATCGTAGTTCGGCTAGCACTCGTTCAGGTCCAGGATGAAGAAGGGTCTCATCAAAGTCTCGGATGATGAGTTGTGTCACAAAATGTTTTGGATCCAACACGATGGGATGGATGGCATCTACCTTTAATTGCTCTGCTCTTCTTAGTCTCCCTCCAACTCTGAGGAGTCCTGTATCTTTATCATACTCAGGAGATAAAGAACTCAAGCCACTGCTGGTTGCTAAAGGTCTGCCAGACATGAGCATCCGGACCTCCTCTGGGAATGATTCTAACTGTACCTGCTTTAAAAGGAGGTTCTCAGCTTGAATGTAGTCAGTTGCTTTATAGGATGGGTTGGAGTCCGATTCAGCCGCCCCATGAAGGGATCGGACTGTAGCTTGTATGAGATCCTTCTATGTAGAAAACGTACTGACATCCGGAAGTGCAAAGTTGGAGTCAATACTCACATGACCACAGAAGGAAGATTTCCTCAGCTCACTATTATCTGGTTCTGTACAGGAAGTTGGGTTGGTAGGCCAATGCTCTTCTGTTTAATGTAAGAAATTAGGACCTTGGTGCCAATGGTGTAGTTGAGACAGCTCAACCTAGGTCTTGCCTCTTGTGATGTCATCAGCAGGGTTATTTGTACTGTCCACATATCTCCAGTTATTCACATCCGTGAGGTTCTGAATCTCCGCCACTCGAGTTCCCACAAAAACCTTGTAATGGCAGGACTCAGACTTGATCCAATGCAGAACTGTAGTGGAGTCTGACCAGAGGATAATACTTCTGATGGGTCAATAAATAAGCTCAGTTTGAAAGACATGAGCTAGCTGGGCACCAGTGACAGCAGCACTTAGCTCTAAGCATGGCATGGACAATTGCTTCTTGGGAGCCACTCGAGATCTAGCTAGGAAAAATGAAATGTAGACTTCCCCTTGGGYGTCTTCTGTCCCCAAATGGGCTACAGACCCATAAGCTCTCTCTGAAGCATCACAGAAGATGTTAATGTCTCAGCTGGATGTAGGGGAATCAGCTGCCTCTGGTGTATAACATCTGGGAATCTACATCTGAAGATCGGGAAGTTCTTGCATCCAAGCATTCCATCGGTCACAAAGSCTCTGTGGCTGGATTGGATCATCCCAGCCAAGCTGTTCCTTCCAGAGATCCTGCAACAGGATCTTAGCTCTTGTGGTGAAGGGGACAATGTAGCCGAGTGCATCGTATTGACAGGCCAGTACTTTATAAACATTCCTCATCGTAGGTTCCGTTTCCTCCACGTGTCTATGTTTGTATTTCAGGGAGTCACGTAGACAATCCCAAGACAATCCAAGAGTTGACTCTTGAAGACGTGCTGGATTGTGAAAGCCATAGGCCACTGCTCTCAGATCTGACATCAGATGGAAGATGTTCAATAACAGCTGGGATGTTACTAGCCCACTGACGTATCTTGAAACCTCCAGTATGAAGCAGCTGGCATAAACCATCAACTAGACCTTTAGCTTCCCTTTCCGGATGAGTACTATGGAGACAGTTATCCATGTWGAATGACTGCTCTACACAGTCTACAAGATCTTGGTTGGACCCACATGTGTCTTGAACATGTCGCTGTAAAGCATAAATGGCACAGCAAGGACTGCAGGTAGTGCCGAATGGTAGGACTTGCCACTCATAGATCTTAGGCTCTTCAGTCCTCTTCATGTCCCACCAGATGAAATGCAGAACTGGTCTGTCAGCTGGTAAAAGACATATCTGGTGAAACATCCCTTTGATGKCTCCGCTCACCACAAATGGGTACTGTCAGAACCATGTAAGAACCCCTAGTAAAGAGGGACCATGAGCAGGTCCAGGGAGGAGAAGATGGTTGAGTGATTTCCCTTCTTACTGGAAAGAACAGTTAAAAACGATCCTGTCCTTGTTATTGTGCTGTACCATTTGGTGGGGTATGAACCAAGACTCAGATGTTGTTTAAGCAACCTCCGGTGGCACAACAGAAATGTAGCCCATATCTTCCAGCTTTTTAATCTCCTGGCAGTATACCTCAGCTCTGTGTGGGTCTTTCCCTAGCCTCCTTTCAGTACCACGAAGACTAGGCATTACTGCCTCCATCGGTGCCTGAAGGGTAGTGGTATTGTCACGGCGAAGAAGTRGTGTAGCATATCGCTGTATCCCATCTAGTGTAACTCTGGTGGTAGAGGACTGAAGGAGGTTGAARGCCTGTTGATCTTGYTTTGATCTGRTCACCTGTTTATTGCTCACATAAGGCATTGTATCAATCTGCCAAAGTCGCTCCACGTTCCTGTGGAGCTCCCAGTCCAGTGAAACCATAACTGTAAATAGGCACTGCTGCTCTGCATGAAAGATCTGATTAGTACTGATAGGACCGTGAAGCGACCAGCCAAGTTCAGTGTGGACTGCAATGGGTCCTCCTGATGAACCCATAYGAACTGGTTCTTTAGGTRCCAAGAGATGAGGCATGTCTGATCCTATAAGTAGTAGAGGTTGAATGTGGTCTACAGGAGTCAAAGGTAGGTCACGGAGATGTTTATGTCTATGTTGGAGAGCCTTCATTGGATTGGAGTGTTCCGAAAGACTGAGACTGTCTGAAGTGAAGGCCTGTTGAATGCAATACTTCTTTTGAGGATTGTGTAGATAAGACACTTGKAGAACAACTCAAGTTCCGTGGAGTTGTACCACTTCCTGATGAACCGTTCGGAGGGTGAGCACTTCACTTTTGGGGTAAGTCGAAGGTGTTGCACGGCTTGCGGTAAAACTATGCTTCCCTCTGAGCCATCATCTAGTACTGCATAGGTCTCCAGTACTCTATCTTCATTATGAAGTAAGACTTTCACAACCTTCAGCATCACTTTAGGAGTTCTGTTAGGTCTGTCCAAGTACACCTTTGAGTTTGGTGCGGCCACCATAAGAACATTTTTCTGGATTTGTTGGACTGCCTCATGCAGTATTGTCAGGTGCTGTTCTTTACAGGCATTACAAGGTCGTTTGAGGGTACAAACCTCAGGCTTATGAGATCTTCCACATTTCCAGCACCTCTGTCCATCAGTCAACCATTGCAAAATATGTCCTGTGCTCARTTTCTTGAGATCTGCACAGGCATTCAGGAAATGATCAGTATTATTGCAGCGTGGACAATATGGTTTGGACTTGAATGAGGACTTCAGTCTGACTGGGCTCGTTCTGGAACTCTGATCACTATTGGCAGTAAAGAAGAAAGCTGTCATTTTCTCCTTTGGTCTACTAAAAGAATGCAGGTCTTTCTTTGTTGGCTTAAGAGTTTCTTGGCCATAAAGAGAAGCAGCTCGACCAGCTATACGCTTTGCTTGAGATTTCATCTGTAACCAAGAACTCAAATCTGATAATGTATAGGTTTGGTCGGTACCTGTACGGAGAATCCCTTGTTCCAAACAGTGTTCCACAAATCCATCATGGTAACTTGGTGGCATCTTACTTAGTAGTCGATCGACATGTGATCCACATCGTAGTTCAAATMCATTTTGTCCTTCCAGTGTCCGAAGCATACCTACTAGTGACTGAACAGACAAGGAAAATGTATCAAAGGCTTTCAACATCTCCAAATTTAATAGCTTGAGTATTCAAGATGGCTCCCAATTCACTTTGAACCAGATGTTGTGACTGACCATATTTGTCCTGTAGAGCGTGCATGGCTGAGGTGTACGGTTTCGGGTCATGCATGTAGGCT